AAGAGAACCAGTTGCCATGTCGAGTCCTGGAGGTGAGAGTACAATGCCTGCACTCTGAAGGAAGATGGTATAGGATGCTGCGATCCGAGGGTCATCTGAGCTGTGATGTCAGAACACTTCTGACAAGACAGCAATTGAATGAAATACTATGAATGCTTCCTCTACTTTCTTTTGTCATCCTGCCTTGGTGGTAGACAGCCAAAGAAAAAAAATATATATATAAAAACAAAAATCTTTCCTTACTCTGGCTGATATGTCCTTTCCAACATTAACATTAGTCTTGAAAACAATGCCTTCCTTTCTCATGAGATCAATCCTTCGTTGCACCACCTCCTTGCTAAGTTTCATGGTAGGGATGCCATACTGCAGCAAGCCACCAATGCGATCATTCCGCTCAAACAAAGTTACACAGTGACCAGCCTGATGAATAAGACATTAATAACTTATGGTATTCCGTACAACTAAGTAGTAGTATATAAAATCACCATGAAATTTTAGCATAACTGCCATTTAATGAAATACATACATAGTACACTAATAAAAATACAATATGATCAAGAGAAATATGGAAAAACTACTCACACATGAGTCACAGGGATATTCAAACACTTCTTTAATATTGTAATGAGGAAAAATTATATTCATGGGTCATCACCAATTCCATAAGTGTCGTGTATCATTTGGGGAATGGGATGTTATCTGGTTTGGTCAAAGAAAATGAAATGTAGCTCCTATTAACCGAATCAAAAGCATTTCACTAGCATCACTCCACTCCCATTCCTTGAAAGGTAATAAAAAAAAATCATCTTGCATAGTAAGTATAAGCTAACTTTATACACGAATTTAAAAGTGTGGTATAGTATGACAGGTATTTTGGGTCAATCCGTTTGAAAAGTCGTGTGGCACGGACCAAAGAACATGAGAATCCACCCACATTTAAATAGGTAATTGCATGAACAGTATACAATTATTGGTTAATGCACATTTTTTTTTTTTTAGATTAAAACAAACCTGGCATCTTTAAAATAAGCAATTAATAATTAGTTGGAAAGTACCTAATAATAAATTGATAAAAAGTGCCTTACCTTGTTGAGCTGGTGTGCTGGCAGCCAAGCCAGCAGGTCCAGAGCCAACAATAGCCACTTTCTTTCCTGTCATTTGTGTGGGGGCTCAGGCTTAACCCAGCCTTGTTCAAATGCATGATCAATAATGGCACATTCAATATTTTTTATTGTAACTGCAGCTCATTTATGCCCAAAACACACAAGCGCCTTCACAAGGAGCAGGACAAACTCTGCAGTAAATTCTGTTGAGAAGTCAAATTACTTTAAGCCTAAGATAGGATTAATAAAAACATATATATACAAATTAATCAGCAGATTATACAATATAACCAAAGTTTATATCCACATTTCTAATCTTTATTATTACAATACTGCATTTTTATACATTTCATTGACATGCTTCATTAATCTTTTAGTTGTAACTTATTAACTCCAAACCCAAGGAAATACTTTAGAAAAAATGAAATATCAAAAAACTTTAAATTCTTACCTGGGAAATTATTGGTTTGCAAGAGTTGACTGAGTGCTTCCTTCCAGTTATTATTGAATACAAGGTCATTCCACTTGGGAATAATGTTTCCTAGGGGGCAGCCATGTGATGACTGGCAGAAGGGAACTCCACAGTCCATGCATCTTGCTGCTTGCACGCGTAAGCCACGGCGTATACCATCAAAATTATAGATTTCTTCCCAATCCTTTTGGCGTTTCTCAGCTGACCGATACATGGCTGTTTCACGCTTGTACTTCATGAAGCCCCTGGAATTATATGAAGAGCACTTAAACAAAATACTCAAAAGGTTTAACAGTACACTAGCTACTGAGAAGTAAAATCAAGGTAAATGATAATCGAGTAAGTTTATCGAAGATTGGTTTTCAGGGCTCACTGTACTACCCGCAGGCCAGCCTGAGGCCAGGCTTTTCTCTTGACTGTTTGGTCAACCAGGATGTTTGTGCTAGAGCCTGCAGGCTTACATATCAGAACTCGGCTAGTCCAGCTGGATTACAATACAGGCACTCCTCACATAACGACTGACTTCCATTCCTACGATTAGGTCGTTAAGCGAATTGGTCGATAAGCTAGGAGCAGACCATGCTGTTAGTGGGTTTGTGTCAACCATCTTAAGATACTTTTTCAACGTCACCTTTGCACCACTTATAATATTTTAGTATATTTTTAAATGTTTACACAGTGTACTGTATAACAGAATAGAGGAAATCAGCTTGTCAGGGGAAAAAAAGAAAAGCTTCATATCATGGTGCTGGTGAAGATTGTTTTGCAGTGAAGCTTACTTTATCTGCTGAGCAAATTAACCTATAATGAGGATTTAACAATCATTCTGTCAAGGTATTTTACAATATTCTCATGCTTGCAGTGGGAGAAAATATATATCTAAGTTGAAAGAATCCAATGAAGTTGGTACACACTAGCAAAACCTATCTGTCATAGAGATTGCATATTGACAAGTAGACCCAAATGCAGAATAATGTGATCCTTTATTAACAACGTTTTGCCCACACAGTGGGCTTTCTCAAGTCGCAAACAGATCTGCACAATAGTTGCAGTGATATTTTCTGTTACACTAGGAACATTGTTTATTTGGATTTTTATTTGATATTTGAAGGAGGGGTGTTAACGTTGCAGTTTAAAAACTGTAGTGTAAAGCACCCTTCTGGCAAGACAGTGATGGAGTGAATGATGGTGAAAGTTTTTCTTTTTCGGGCCACCCTGCCTTGGTTGGAATCGGCCGGTGTGATAATAAAAATATAATAAATAATTGGTTATTTGGATTTTAGTAAAGCCTTCGATAGAGTACCTCACAAGAGACTCTTAAGAAAAGTGGCAGCTCATGGTATAGGAGGTAAAGTTCTAGCATGGACTGAGGCATGGCTTACCAATAGAAAGCAGTGTGTTACCATTAATGGAGTGAAATCTGAATGGGGATTAGTCACTAGTGGCATTCCACAAGGGTCAGTTTTAGGCCCTCTCTTGTTCATAATTTACATTAATGACCTTGATGAAGGGATTACGAGTGACACGAGTAAATTTGCTGATGATACAAAGATAGGCCGTATAATTCACTCTGAGGAGGATATCAATGAACTCCAGGACGATTTGGACAAATTAATGTCTTGGTCTGAAAAATGGCAGATGAAGTTCAATGTGGATAAGTGTAAGGTACTTGCCCTTGGTAATGAAAATAACCCTCGAAGCTATAATCTAGGTGAAGAAGAGCTTGATCATACAGACTGTGAAAAAGACTTGGTAGTCATGGTAAGCAGAAATCTAAAGCCAAGACAGCAGTGCCTTAGTGTGCACAACAAGGCCAACAGATTACTTGGATTTATCTCAAGAAGTATAAGTAACAGAAGTCCAAAAGTTATTTTACAGCTCTATACATCACTAGTGAGGCCTCATTTAGATTATGCTACTCAGTTTTGGTCCCCTTACTACAGGATGGATATAGACTCAATAGAGAACATACATAGAAGAATGACTAAAATGATTTACTGTGTAAGGAACCTCCCGTATGAAGACGGACTCAAAGCCTTAAATCTCCACTCTCTGGAGAGGCGTAGAATGAGGGGAGATATCATTGGAGTGTATAAGTGGATGACGAGCATAAACAAGGGAGATATTAATAAAGTACTGAGGGTGTCAAACCAGGTAAGAACCAGGAATAATGGATTTAAGTTGGATAAATTTAGATTTAGAAGGGACATAGGTAAGTACGGGTTTTCTAACAGAGTTGTAGATGCGTGGAACAGTCTTCCCAATGGGGTGATAGAGGCTAGGACCTTGGGTAGCTTTAAGAAGAGACTGGACAAATATATGAGTGGGAGGGGCTGGGTTTGATTGGTGTCATTGGGTATGGGAGTTATTTCTTGGGAAGCTTTAGGTAGTAGTCGTTTTGATAAGGACCTGCCTCGCATGGGCCAGTAGGCCTTCTGCAGTGTTCCTCCATTCTTATGTTCTTATGAACATGTTCATTCATATCCCTTCCCTTTCCCCCCAATCCCTGCAGAATGAGGTCATTATGCTAGCCCCATGCTCATCCTTCAATGAGGGAAAAATTTTTTTTGGCCATTATTCAAAAATTAATTCAGTAAATGTTTGTAAACCTGTGATTGACTAAATGCTTTCAGCTTTAGAGTAGGATAACCTAAATTTTGAAACTTAAGGAAGGGCATCTAAATTATGGTATCCGAGCACCTCTGCAGAGTAATTATACATGAACGATAGTGAAAGTGTTGAACAATGAAAATTATTTTTCTTCCTTTCTTTTTGGGTCACCCTGCCCCGGTAGAAAATAGTCAGGTTTAAAAAAAAAAAAAAAAAAAAAAAAAAAAATTGAGAGAATACCTAAATGATATGTATTTGTTGTTCATGTATTATACATTTTTTTTCAACAAACTGGCCATATCCCATCAAGGCAAGGTGACCCGTAAAGAAAAAGAAGCCTCTTTAAATTTAGTAATTTATACAGGAGGGGTTACTAGCCCCCTTCTCCCAATATATATCTATATGCTTATTCCATTAGAATAAATTGAGGTTACACTGGATGGTTTCAAAATTTGCACGGTCACAGGTTGGTAACAATTTCAGGAAAATATTGTACTATATATTCTGAGGAAAGCCCTTGTTTTACATAACATTCTAGGCAGAATAATTCAAGACCTTAAAAACCACTTAATTATCTCTCTAGTACGTTTAATTACCTTTGCAAGACTAATCAGGAATGGTGTAGCTTTGAGGTTAAGGAGCTTTGTCAAGCAAAGTTTTTATTACAAAGAATATCTAAATTCTTCTTACCTAGTTTTGTCAAGAATTTTCTCCAGCCTCTTCTTTTCCATGGTTGCATCCATTACAGATTCTTCAATATCACAGATGACAGGCTCAGGTTTGGCTTCAACTTTAGTCTTTTCAGGAAGTGCTTGTACTGCTGCTGCTTCCTTCTCGGCAAGTTGCCTCAAGGCTCGCTGGTACTCGTATGGGAACACCTGCATAATGTGTTAAGCACAATACAATACCATTCAAGTCTGATGCTACCAATAAATTAAACTTTGAAGTTTCTTAGAAGACAGATTTAACCCTTTCAAGGTTTCCGACGTACTAGTACGGCTTACGCACCAGCGTTTTTGACGTACTAGCACGCTTGAATTCTAGCGCCCTCAAATCTTGTGAGACAAAGCTGGTAGGCCTACTTATGAAAGAATGGGTCTATGTGGTCAATGTGCATAGCATAAAAACAATCCTGCAGCACACAGTGCGTAATGAGAAAAAAAACTGACAGTGTTTTTGGTTTAAAATAGTGACTTTGCACTGTATTTTTGTATGGTATTTATGATGGTATTCTAGTTTTCCTGGTCTCATTTTATAGAATGAGAGACATATTACAGAAATTGAGATGATTTTGATTGGGTTTTCAATGAAAAGTACCTTGAAATTGAGCTCAAAGTAGCAGAAAACTTTGATTTTTGCCAAAGTTCAAAAGTAAACAAATCATGCTACGTGTCCAATACACATCAACTAGTGAGTCTAATATTCTTTCACAAGTGTGCTGATATTATTTATACCATTCCAACACTAATGCAGTAGTCTGCATAACAGTAAATCATCTATTTGTGAGAATAAAAATTCAAAGTGGAAAGCAAAAGAACGTAAGAGGGGTGTGGGGACGTGACTAATGAACAGAGGAAGAGCTATTTTAGTGCCAGGAATGTCTTTCTTGTTTATTCTGAACCCTATTTGGAAATTGGCATCTCTTGAAATTTGTGTGAAATTGGCAAAATTGCTAAATTCCGACCACTTTATTGGATGGTTGAAATCAGTAAATGGGTGGTTTCTTGTACTCATTCGATAGAAAAAAATGGAGTTCTAGCGAAATGGTTATGATTTTTGTCGACTAGTTCACTGGAAGTGGCCGAAAATAGGGCTCAAAGTGGGCAAAATCGCCGATGCATAAACATCGAGACCGCTAACTTTGCAAGAGCATAATTCTGTAAATTTTCCATCAAATTTCATACTTGTGGTGTCATTATGATTGGGAATAGTTCCTCTATCTTTTCATAAGAAAAAATAATTTTTTTTTTTTAAATTTGTCGACCCTGAGAACAAGTCTGGGAGAGGGCCTGTCGACCCTGAAAGGGTTAAAAGTTATCAGTAGGAACAATGATGAAAAAGAATGCATCCAAATTTTTTCTATTGATAGAAGAGAGGGAGGTGGGAGGTAAAGAAAATGAAAGATTAACGAGAAAAAAAGTAAAGGAAAGATAAAAGATAATGGGATAGGATATAATTGGAAGGCAATGTAATAAGACAAGTGACTGGACATGAAAAGGTGACCAGATTCGACTGAAAGGTGACAAGATATGATCAGGTATATTAATGCTATATTAGTGATAATGAGAGGATATGGTTAACTAGAAAAATCATTGGCTATTAGCTTGTCAGTTTTAAAGCCTCTTTCCTCTGCTACTAGTGCCTGTCTTAAATTTTTTACAATGAATCTTGTATTTTGGTTACACAGTGATTGCCTGTGTTTGCTATGGAAAATAAAAATCAACCTGTCCAAGCACTTAGAATTTTACCTTGACAAACTTGCTGGCTTGAGCTGGCCAGTCCATGAGCAGGCTAGCAGCAACCTTTGAGCCTGTCTTATCATGAAACTGTCGCAGCAGATCCTCAATATATGCAATGTCATCAGACTGCTTAAGTGGAAGAAGTTCCACAGTCTGCATGTTACATTTGCTGCAAATAAACAGAAAAAAATTAAGAATACACAATGCTGATCTTGGGTAAGTTTTGTGAACGCTATCATTTGTTAATTCATAAGCTATGATAAATCATTGGCTTTTAGGAAACTTGTGATACTTCAGTACAGACAGCAAACTATCATGAAACTTTTTTTTTTTTTCAACAACCTAGCTGTATCCCACCAAGGCAGAGTGACCTAAAAACATGAATGAAAGTCTCTTTTAAAATTTATTAATTTATACATGAGAAGGGGTTACTAGCCCATTGCTCCCAGTATTTTTACAACACACATGGCTTTTACAATTTATATAGTCTTTGAAAAAGATATAAAATTAAAGAAGTCAACATAACACACCTTGGAAATTCACCCTTGGGGTCCAGCACATAAGCAATACCTCCAGACATGCCAGCAGCAAAGTTGCGTCCAGTTGAACCAAGAATCAGTGCACGTCCTCCTGTCATGTACTCACACCCATGGTCTCCAACTCCCTAGAGAAGTAATATACATGTACTTTAAATTTGCACCTTGAAGGATGCATAGCCTTTACTTTCTATTAAAAAATAGGACATCATACCAGGGCAAGTTTATTTTAAACTAAATTAAAATATGAACCTGGCCTGGTCGTGGACCGGGCCGCGGGGGCGTTGATCCCCGGAATAACCTCCAGGTAAAAATATTTTCAGAATAAGGTATGAAAATCAGAACCAAAGTAGAATACAATAAAACAATAGTTACTTCAAAAAATTATTTCAATGTGTGTATTCATGATTTTCCCCCAGAGAACACAGGTATCACTAAACTCCAACTAACCTCAACAACAGCTACAGCTCCTGAATTACGAACACAGAACCTCTCTGCAGCTACTCCTCGGAAGAATGCTAATCCACTGGTAGCACCGTATAAACAAACGTTGCCCACAATGATATTCTCCTCACTTCTATATTCATCGGGTAAATTCCTCTGTGGGTAAATCACTACCTCACCTCCGGATAGTCCCTGAGAATAAAATGATTTGATATATACAAAGAAATTCAGTTACACAGTATATATATGAAAAAGTTTCATATACAGCCTCTCCTCACTTACCTATGTAGTACTCATTTACTGACGACTCGGACTTATGACGGGCTTTCTGACCAGTGTGCATACCTAAATAATGTATGTTAGAGTTGGTTTCCTCTATTCTGTTTATTACAATATACAATACACTACTATATAAACATTTAAAAATATACCAAAAATGTTATAAGTGGTACAAAGGTGACATTAAAACAATATCAAAGATGGCCGACAAACCCACTATTATAATATGTTCCTTACTTAGCAACGAATTCGTTTACCAACGTGGCCCTAGGAACAGAACTCCATTAAGTGACAAGAGGCTGTATATATGAATGTTTTGATAGGAAAGGAAACTTTTGGCATTGTTTTGGTCTGTCCCTAATCATTATGAAGTTATCTGAAGCTTCCTCTCCTAATTTTGAGTATTTACCATGACTTATTCTTTACTCATTTTCCTTTTTACATCAACTGACTAACTAAATTCCTCACCCAGTACTCCTGCAGCTTTCTTATCTACATATTTTCTGTGACAAACACAACCACCTGGTATGTGTATAGATAAAGCATTTCCTACTGTAATTCACTCTTCATACTCCAATTTATTTTCATCTCATTGCTAATTTAATTTCTTTTAAATTTCCTACTTTTTATACACCTTCTCCAACTTCCTCGTTACTGTCTGTAGCTTCACTTATGAACCAACATAAAGTCATCTGCATCTACCAATAGTCACCATCCACTTAATATTAGTTTTGTTATTTTTGTAGGGCTAAAATATTAACCATTACACTTAAATTCAGCATAAATACATATAGTTTACATAACAATGTGTCATTTCAAATTATCAAAACCAAGTGCTAAACCACCAGGGTTACACAGTGCTGCAGGGTAAAGGTTGAAAGGTCGGTGAAGATTCCTGAAGTTCCTAAAGAGAGTATAATCAAAGTTGGTGTAATAATGTTGTTGATGTCAGAAAATCAAAGAGTGTCTGCATTAAAGGTGAGGCCATCAGCGAGGAAGAAAGTGTGGATGCTATAGCGGTTACGTAAAAGGTAAATTCTGCATGCTCGCTGATAGACTGGACAGTCCAACAAACTATGGCAAACTGAAATCACAACATAATTCACGGAGTGGAACTGGGCGCCTCTCCGTTAGATACCCATGAGTGAGACGTGTGTGCCCACTGCGAAGATGGGAAAGCGTAGTCTCTCAACCATGAAATTAATAAAGACCAAGATCATAAACTCGGCTTGATAAGAGTAATTTGCTATGAATCAATTTGGACCAACACTGTTGCGACGGCTGTGAAGGTGGCTAGAGGCTACAGCAAAATAATCTGAGAATGGAATGCCTCTTCACAAAACTGGAAGGTCATGTACTCCTGATCATGCAGCAGTGTCTGCCTGCTCATTTTCCTGAATATCAACATGGCCAGGTGCCCGGCAGAAAATGAAATAGGGGATGAGGCAGGTTAAGTTTATGATAGCTTGCAAAGCACTAAAGGAGTTGAGAGACTACCACAAATGACGAGGTAGGCCTGGACACAATACAGTAATCGCTACGAGAATTGCACATAGTTCAGCTGTGAAAATGTTAGCAGTGTCTAATAAATGACCTTGTACAACACTGTCTGGGAACACCGCTGCAAACCTGACACCAGAGGATTTAGAACCATCAGAGTAAACTGCAACAGCGCAAGAATGAGAAGGGAAGTTGTGATGAATGGTTTGAAAAACCGACAAGTTGAAGATTGAGACACTTATGCAGCATATGGACCCTCTGAGAAGGGAAGTGCTGAAGAAAAAGGGAGCGAGAAGCCACTGTAGGTATTTGAGCTTTAGCACACGAAAGTGGGGAAGAACAGCCATGAACTGTTGAAACCCCCCAGGGGGTAAAGAGGAAAGTTAGATGCTAGGCAAACATATAGAGGAAACTGAAGAGAAATTAAGAGTGGGTGAAGATGAGACAAGGGACGTAATAAACAGGGAGGAGGCGAATAAATAATGGCCCTCTACTAACTTCCATTACTATCCTATATGAAGGATTGTGAAGGTCATGAATGCAGACAAAATAATGAAGGCAATGGGCATCATGGCTATTGTTCAAGGATGGAATATTTGCCTCTGCGTATAGGCTCTCGAGAGGGAAGGAGTGAAAAGCACCTAGACATAAATGTTATCTCTGATGATGGATGGGAACAAATTTATAGAGTTGCAGGAGTAGCTGCAGAATATATCTGGTTGCCACAGTGTAGCTACGATAAAATTAGGGCTGAAAGCAGTCGAAGGAGAGTTCAATGATCTGCCACCACCAGAGATAAGTGAGGATTTTAAGGTGGTTCAGCTGGCTATGGCAAGTTGCTTTCGGGGTGGTAATGCAAGTTTTCCAGGACAGCCAGCAATTAAACAGAAGGCCAAGAATTCCATATCCCATTCAGGGTGCCATATATGTACAATGGAGTATCAGAAAAAACACAATGTTTGGTGAAAGTAACATGGTGCATTGTAGCACCAGAAAATTTAAACCCATGCATTGTGGCCCAATGAAAAACACAGTTGATAGCATTCTGGACTGAGACTACTGCTAGGCGACAGTCAGTGCTTGCACAGGCTATAGCAAGGTCATCAACAAAGTTATGACCAAATGTTAGATAGGAGAACAGATGCCAGATCATTTACAGCAAGTAGAAAAAGAGTGGTGCTATGGACACATCCCTGCAAGACACCTTCAGCTTGGACAAAGTTTGGGAAAGCAAATTAACCCAAACACAGAAATATCTCAGTTAAGAAGTTTTTAAGGGAAAGTGCTAGATTGCCTCAGAGGCCTAAGGAATGAGCTTGGACCAAGATGTTATATCTCCAAGTAGCGTCACATGCCTTTTCAAGATTGAGTGGTTACTAGCTAAGGTATTACAAACAATTATCTAAGCGGAGTAAGGGGTCAATAGTGAAATGGCACTTATGAAAGCCAAACTGACTAGTGGAGAGACTATTCTCTCTCTAAATACAACACCAAACCTTCATTTACTACAGACATTCCATCAACTTGCAAACTGCACTGGTAAAAGCAATGCATTAATTCACAGTATATTTAATTGTAAATTTATTTCATTTCAATTCAAATCATAGTGTTACAATAAGTTACTGCAGTGTGTAGGGTAGGAACTAGGTCCTCAAGTATCTTTTATGTACAGTATGTATCAGGTGTATCTGTTCTAGAGAGTATTACCCAAGTGCTCTGAGGCAATCCCCATAGTTTACAGGTTCTGATGATTCTACATGGCCTCACTGCATTTTCCAGCTCTGCTATCTCGTTTCCCTCAAAGGTACTGAGCGCAGAACAATATTAATAGTGAAAGCTAAGGCGATTCATGAAGTACAGTACTATCACTGGTGTTGCATCTTGTTTGGAAATTTCTCATAATCCACTACTGTCTTCCTTGCATCTATGCTACATTTGCCTTATTTTTTTTCTCCAAATGACAGATCCTTTGATAATTACTGTAGTCTTAAGTCTTTTACTTGTCCCTTACACACTAAGCGGTCTGCCTGTGTTCTGTTTACTATGTGCTAAACCCAGAAGGGTCATATAGTGCCTGGGGAATGAAAATTTAACCTTCACCAGTGTCAAGGCACACCTTGAATTGGATAACTTTTTATGTTTACACAAGTTACGGCATGAAAAGAGGGACTATAAAAGTATTAATTCAAGGAATATGAGGAGTAAAATAAAGGTTGGATGTGAAAAGTGGGTTATAGTAAGCGTATATGCACCTGGAGAAGAGAGAAGTGTAGAGGAGAGAGATTTTAGGAAAAGTTGAGTGAATGCGTGGGGTTTTGAACCAAGTGAGAGGGTAATGGTGGTTGGGGATTTCAATGCTAAAGTGGGCAAAAATGTTGTAGAGGAAGTAGTAGGTAAATTTGGGGTGTCAGGGGTAAATGAAAATGGGGAGCCTTTAACTGAGCTATGTGTAGAAAGAGGGATATGTTGTGTATCTTTATACGTATATGCTTCTAAACTGTTGTGTTCTGAACACCTCTGCAAAAACAGTGATTATGTGTGAGTGAGATGAAAGTGTTGAATGATGATTAAAGTATTTTCTTTTTGGGTCACCCTGCCTTGGTGGGAGACGGCGAACTTGTTTATATATATATAAAAAAAAAAAAAAAAAGTTAATCTCTAAATCTATTACATGTTAAATATATTTTAGGCAAGCCAGCTCTTTAAAATTAACACTTTTATTGTGCTATCATGAAGCATATTAATGACTTTCATCACTGACAAATAATTTCATGGCTATATGCTGCATACATTTTTAAATACATTTAATTGTAGACTCTATACCATTTACTAAACTTCAATTTAACTTGCTGAAATGAACTCTAGGCCCTCAAATTCACTAACTACTTAATACCTCTAACAGAATAAAAGTTTATTCTATTTGAAGCTTAAAGGTTCATTCCCTCAAAAATATGGTAAAACAGATGTACTGTAGAGCATAGCATACCAATAAGGGGTTAGAAAAGGCACAAGTGCTATAACCACTTGAATTAAAAAAAAATGGTATATTAAACACAGTACTAAAGATGTTACATGAACAGCATACAAATAAGTAAGACAAGAAAAAACTTTCAGGAAAGGCTCAAGCTAACAAAAAAAAATTATATATATATTTTTTATTTTTTTTAACTTTATGGCTGTCTCTTCTCCCACTAAGGCTGGGTGACCTAGAGAAGACGACTTCAACATTCATGCAAACACTGTCTTACCAGAAGTGAGCTGACATCACCATCAGATTATGCTGACTACAATATCCCTGTCTCTCTACAGAGTGCAGGCACTGTCCTTCCCAACTACAGAACTCTGGCTAACAGGTTTCAATGAATTCCTTCATAAAAGTTACCCTGCTCACACTCAAACAGCATCCCCATTAA